CTTATGACGATGAATTTCCGAACACCCGGTATAACTCTTGCGCAACTCTATTATAGTATATCGTATCGGGTAAAAACACCAGGAAGCTCGCGTTACATTCCATCGATCGCCGCGGCGACGTAAAACGTGATATTTAAATCGCGGAAAAAAGAATTTCCGGAAGGCGAGTGTTTCGGAACTTGATTCTCTTGATTAAATCTGTTGCCGATGACGAAAGGTTCCTCGTTGTTTCTTCGGTACATATATCGAATAATTGGGGTATCGATAGCAGCATCTCTAGGCTGGATAACCGAAAGTATACTGTAAAAAATCAGTTTTCCACGGGCTGTGGAGCACGTGGCGCGACCAGGATCGAACAATCCAATGTCGGTGTGTATCGGTTCGAATCCGATTTTGATAACTCGAGGCAAGGTGAACGCACTGACTTGTGACGCGGATGGAACGCGGAACCAGGCAGGCGTTGCGGGAGACAAATGACCGTCTGCGAGGCCGCGAAACCGCCATTCGGGCCAGCCTCTCTTTAAGCCTCGCGGTTCGCGCGACCGATTTGTCGGACAAGGGCTTTGCCATTGCCCCGTTCCTTCGATGCAAATGCTAATTCGCGATTACCGTTTTTGCCTCGTGCCAAATCGTGATTCACTCGATTTATAAATCATTCGCGGCGGATTATACCGCGGGGTAATATATATCCCGCGGCGCGCTACGCCTCTCGTAGTACGGCTCGAGCGAGACTTTGAATCATAGCCTGTGGTGTGTGCTGTGTGCTCGCGTGATTTCGCCCTTTGCCAACCGGCGCGGCGCGGCGGCCTGATCCGTACTCCAACGGTTGAAAAACCCGATTGTTGAAACACGCTCGTCGGCGAAGCGCAAAGTAGTCGTAATGCAGCGTCATGGTGCTCGTTCGAAACGGTCTTACTCGAGGTGTTCTATTGACCACCCGAGAACGAGAGTGGCGCTAGTCAATTTCATCACGTTTTCAGGAAATCCATTCTAGTTGAAACACACCACTAGAGGGTAATTCGAATTCGAGGCGTTATATATTATTTCTTCTTCTTCTTCTTCTTCTTCTTCTTCTTTCTCTTACTCCTCTTCTTTATACCTTGATGGAAAAGTCAATTTTTTATTTCAAAACAAGGCCCTAATTTTCCACTTTGAGGCTAGTCATCGTTGGTTAGGTTAAGGAATTGTCTCCTTTGCAACGTGGGAAAACACTGTGTAAAACAAGTTTTCTGCAAGCGAAGCGAAAATCGAACGTTTACCCCGTCCATAGTTCGCAAATTTTATAGGCCGTTTAAATGCCGCGCGAGAACTAGTTTCGCTATTATTCATAGGTACACGTCCGATAAATTCCAATCCTGTCGATAAATATTATGTAAACAGAAGTTGCGATCGAAACATTTAGATTATACGTGGACGCATTTCTTTATAACTGGTATTTCGTTGGTAAAACGCGTCCAGAAGCGTGACTTATTTTAATTAGAAATTTGTATTCCGGCCAAAGCCAGGTTCGTTTAAACTCGGAGCCCGAGATCGGAAGGAACTTATCCAACAAGCTAATAATCCTAATTCTGTCGTAAGGATCGCTCCGTGGCGGACCTTCGAGTTAATTCTTAACCGTCTGTCCTTACATTTTTAATGAGTTCTATAGCCCAAGGGAGTCGGTGGATGCTCATTTCGAATTCATGGCGTAGTTCCGCGACGATTGTGTCAGATTGCTCGCTCGGGCACAATGTACTATTTCGTAATACATATATGTATATCGGCGTTGCTTTCGATCGTTGTTCGTTAAAATCGCCGATCGACGAGGAACTGTTTCGCGCGCGAATTGCCTCGCCAAAAAAATTTGGAACTTTACAAGCGTCTTTGCGTAACGACCGACAGAGACGGCTATAAAGGGTAGAGCAGGCTAAGAGAGGAAACGTGGAAGCGAGACGCAGGTAGAGAATCGCTTAGGAGAACGCGCAGGTGAGAAGGAGAGGACAAAGAGAACGACTCGAAAGCGGGGGGTGAGGAGAGGGTTACGTGTTGTTGGAGGGGGCTTGCGACCAAGAGGAAGGAGGGACGAGCCAGGAGGAAGTCAACGTCCGAAGATTACGGCAATGACATTCGCTTTTTCTCACTCTCCTCCTCGTGTTCCTCTCGGGGCCCGCTGTCTTTTTCCTTTCGCGATCTTTTCCTCTCTTTCGAGTTCGCCGCTCGCCACGTCGTCGTTCCCGTTTCTCTCGTTACGCGGAAAAACACGGGCGAAACAAATTCTATTGATATTCGGCGATCGGCCGTCGAATCGCTCACGGATAACGTGTTCCTTTTCTTATCGGCCGTCGATCTGATTCGTAAGTAATCGATGCCTCGTACGCTCCTGGTAATCTATTTCTCTTACCGAGTCACAAAGTTATTGGCACAAATTTCTGCGAGAACGTAGGCGTGATTTTTTTCATTCCTGGTTCTTTGATCGACGTTATAGTACGGTCGTTGAATTCGCTCTGCGCTACGATGCTGCGTTAAGAGACACGTGTTGGTGCGCAAACTAAATGGCTATGACCAAAATTTTCTAAAAGGGCACCGATGATATACGCAAGTAGCGCGAGCGATCGTGAAATACCGTACACTTTCTTTATTTACCTAATAAACCAATACAATAGTAATAATAGTAATAATAATAATAATAATAATAATAATAATAATAATAATAATAATAATTATAGACCAAGAACCGGTCCTGAAACCGAAATTCTCTTCCGATCGAACCACGCGGTTACAGACGTCTTTCGTTCATAGAAAACAGCTTCGAGATCGAAAACGATGGAACGATCGGCGTAAGTTGCCGCATGCTCGAGATTTTCGTTTCTTTCCGTTGACCGAGTTCGAAGTCGTGCGTTTGCCTCTTTTGTTTCTGATTTTCCTTTCGTTTTGATTTCTCTTTCAGCGATGGATCACGTGAAAAGCCATGGGACGTCGGATCCACTGAAAATCGGCGGAAAAGACCGCGCTTGCGTTACACGAAAAAAGCTTACTACCCCGTAGAGCGTTTCTCCGCGCCACGGGGCAACGCGGATTACAGAAAAAGTCTAACGTAACGCGAACAACGATCGAGATCGAGATCGAGAGCGAGAGAGAGAGAGAGAGAGAGAGAGAGAGAGAGAGAGAGAGAGAGAGAGAGAGAGAGAGAGAGAGAGAGAGAAAGAAAGAGAGAGAGGGGGGAGAGGGAGAGAAAATTGAAGGTGAGCGTAGCGCGGTGACTGATCGCGATCACGAACGAAAAATATAATGGGTTGAACCCCCGTGTGGTTGTTTTTTTTTTTTTTATTTTACAAGCGGAAACCCGGAGAGAGAACACGAGGAAAACACGAGGGGAGGATAACGAGACACCGACGAGAACATGCTCGCGCACGAAGACGATATCGCGCGCGTCTTCTTCTTGAACAATGCTGAGCCCTTTCGGAGACCGCGATCCCACGGATTTTCGCAGCCCACGGGCACGAAAGCTAACGAGAAGGGTCTCGTTTTGCAGAAAGTTGTGACACGGTGCCAGTGAAGTGCGACATTTTTCTCGTTCGTGATCGCACGGTGGTGCTCGAAAGTTGTTCCACGTTTCAGCCGACACCGAGGATCCGACGACAATTCGGTATCGTGCTCTCGTACAGGTTCCCTTCGTCCCCTGAACGTTTACTTTCGATTCCTCGGTTTCTTTCGGGCTCCAACAACCGCGAACTACTCATCGATCGTGTTCGCGTTCGCGTTCGCGTTCGTGCACGTCGAGAAGGGAACAGCCTGTTGATCGATCGTGTAACGGGATTAAAGGAAAGAGTTGGAGTGCTCGCGAACGCGTCGATAGTTTTCGTCCACGTTACTATCGTTCGATACCATATCGAGAGGATAGAAACGTCTCTCGTGGCCGTTGGTAATAAAGCGTCCGCGCTCGTAATCGTATCGGATTGAATAACACGCTGGCCCAAGGCCATCGACGTCGAAAAGCATTGCCCCCGGGGTCCCGTGTCTGGGAAGAACGAGAATCGCATAAACGGGAGCAGAACGGGGCCAACGCGACGGGTTTCGGGGTCTTTCGAAGACTGACAGATGAAGAGATAGAACGGCGGTTGTTGGGCCAGCGAGACGCGTAAAAATCGTTTCACGGTTGTCCGCGGACAGTTTCATTGAGAAATCTCGGCGAAGAGGAAACGGCCAGTGACCTCGGTTAAACCGCGCTCGCGCCGTTCGAAAGGAATGCTTCCTCGAAACGGTAGCATCGCGAGGGCCGACGATCTCTTTGAGAAAACGTGGTCGTCCGGGTGGTCGGGGCGGCCGAGGCGGCCGGCGGTTGATGATCGGTTCGCGACAGAACGCAGGATGCGCTCGAAAATCGTTGGCGCGTAAAACTGTTGCGGGGACGAACGAGCCTGACGGGTCGATCGGCGAATCGGGCGTGCGCGTCAAGTTCTCCGTTAAGTTTTCGACAACCGATACTGCCGCGAGAACCCAACGACAACGGAACGGCTACTTTGTTACGCTCGTGCCACGAACCACCGATGAAAAGGTAACGAATTGAGAACGCGAATGTGCATCGTTTCGTGGACTGCACGTTCCAACGGTCGTAAATAAGTGAGCACCCGGTGAATACCAAGGTGACACGCGATTCGTGGATCGTTTCCTCATGAAGAAACGCCCCGAAGACTACTGTCGCGACGTCGCCGTTCGCATGGATCTACGGTTCGATCGCTTCTCCGTTGTGCGACGAATCTTCAAGTTCGTACTATCTAGGGATTGATGGCGAACACCGTGAATCTGGAACGGTAACGACAACAGTGTTGGTTGGTTGGTTGGATTTCGTAAGAGCAGGACACGTTCGCACGGCGGCAAGGAGCTGCCACGGGAGCCGAATATCAACAGTTATGGGAAGCCGAGCGGACCAACGTCGAGACGCGAATCGATCAGAGTAGTGCGGAGTATACGCGAATGGTGACCGTGTTGCACCATCGCCGTCATCATTTTCTTTTCGTACAATGGACGTTTTCAAAATCGACCAGTCGCTCAGCGCGGGTCTGGGTAGCGCCCCGGCGCCAGACACGCTTACGCCGGAAGTGTCCTTCGACGCAGGTAGTGAGTTCAATCTGAGCTTCTTCGACGGACCGGAGGAGAACAGCACCCAAGGCTTCAGCGATCCCGGTTCCGTGGGTAGCGCCAGCGCATCACCACCGCCAGGAACACCCGCCAGCATCCCCGTTAACCCCCCGAACGCCGCCCTACCGATAGTCCAAGTGCCCTCCGGCATCGTCATTAAGCAAGGTTTGTTTCATTTTTCTTTTGCTTTCGCTTTTACCACCCGCGACCATTTACCCACCGCCTCGATTTACACCGACTCCCAGTCAAAATTACATTTCGCATCTAATCATTTACTCTTTCTTATTCGGTAACAATTTAATTATTAAATAACAAAAGGAAAGATCGGTTTCGAGTTAAGGGGAACGCGGTAGCGCGATACGTCTCGAGTTTTCGAAACTTTACCGCAAACTCTACTCTATTTCGAGCGAAAGATTTATGGCCAGAGATTGGCAAACAACATTAAACAACATTATTATGAATTTTAAGAAAGTGCAGGGGAAAGAAATTGTAGATGTTTGATGACTGATACGAAACGCGATCGATTTTGACTGCGAGCCTCTGTACTACCTTTTCCTGGATCTTCTGATTTTCTCATTTCTTCTTCTTCTTCTTCTTCTTCTTCTTCTTCTTCTTCTTCTTCTTCTGTTCTCTGATTTCACTTTACGTTTGCTTTTATTACTACCATCGTTTCTTGCGTCTACGCGAGATACATTGTCGCGGAATGTCGTAACGTTTCCGTGTCATTGTTACGTCTCGCGCTGTTTGGTAACGCGCTCGATTTACCGTGTGGACGGGCGTTATGAAAGCGAACGTGATAAAAAGTTGCAATTTCCTCGGGATTTCTATACGGAAAGGAGTAATCAATCGATCGATTTAATTTCATTTCGTTAACGATTCTGACGTTGCGTTTTATTGCTAGAAACGGATTTGGTTGAAAATCTCTGGTCTCGTTGCGAGTGAAAATTTCAATCTAGCAAGAAAGAGGTACATATAATGCATAATCATTATGGATACGCCGCGGAAAACTTTGACCAAAAACTGTTCTTAAGTTCGTAAGCGCGGATATTCGGGGCCATATTTCAGCAGTTTGCACAGGTGGTTCTGGTGCCCGAAAGTTTTCAGTTGTTCCAACGATATCCATTTCCAGCTTTACGAGGTACAATTGGCGAACGTGGCCTGTGTTTATCCGCTTCCATCGTTCAGGTTCCCTCAGCTGTCGCCAAGACGGACAGCTCGCGTTCGTCTAGCCTCTTCGTAAAGGTTACGATACAAATTGGAAAGGTCGTCGAGCGTTTTGCAATACTCGCAATTCGTCCTGCGGGCCGCACAATGCTATCGGCACTACGCTACGGTGCAATAGAAATCTATAGCGCACGCGCCGCCACCTTCGGCCTACCGATTTCTCTTTCAATTGAGTTTTCTTTCCCATTGTCTGGAGGAAATATCGGATCGAGAACTGGTTTCTTACGTCTACGTTGTGAATCCAGCCTCGTAGCTAAACCCCCTTCTCTCCTCTCTATTTGCAAAGAGATCGGAGCGGGCTGACATTTCACTCGAACGGAGAGTGTACGATCGAGACACGTTTCGTCTTCGGATCACCATAATGCAAGTCTCCTATTCGTTTACGCGAGCAAGATGCGAAGGAATAGGGAATAAGACTGATGAAAAACTGTACCTTCGAAAAAAATCAGGCTCCAGTGAAAGTGAAAATATAACTTGGGTCGTACTTTATTACCTCTGAGTCGAAAGAGTTTAAATTTTAAAGACACGATATCAGTATTATGAAACTGTAGGCGTGCAAAACTGTGCCTGCAAGCTACAGTGTGACATACAGCAGTATGTAGTATCATAATGGGAGTGCTCTAAGCGTTGTAAGATATACATATTTCAATGCATGAAACGATATTACGGGATCGACTACACTCCCTTCATTTCCATATATAATACATAGGTAAATATTTGGTAACCTGTAATCGCATAATAGTACTGTAGTTTCCTGGTCATCGATAAGCTTTACACGTGTCTAACCTTTGACAAATAAAAAGGCAAGTACAATAGGATGGATATTGATTATTGGAAATAGCAAGGTACGAGACATTTCCGATAACCGATCCATAGAAAGAAAATGGGAAATTTGTGGCAGGTGTATTGTTGATCGTTTAGTTTGTTTTTATTACTTTCTGGAAGAAGCGAAAAACGATTCCCGCGACACGCATGGAATCGCTTTCTCATCGACTAGCGTCGAAAAGCATCCAGGTCCATGCTAGAGGTCGTCGTTTAAATTATACATTCGTCTAAGTCTGAAAGGTCCGTGGCGTCGATCTGATGGCAGTTCCCGAAAATCCAACTTTGAATTTCAATCTCGAAGCGGTCAAGGTCTGGCGCGCATGATTCTATTCAGGACTATGAAGTCTCCTTGGAGGACGCGTTAATATACACGGTCCTCGGACACACCACCCCGGATCGTGGTGCGAGAAATACCTTTTCCTCGCGTCACGCGTTGTCAATAACTTTCTCACGGCGGTGAATTTTCTCTAAAAGCCATGGGGCTGTCATCCGGGGTCCGAGGGGATTCGCGGAAAAGCTGCAGCTTATTTCCGTGGACTTCCATCTGCGTAATTCGTTCGTTCGGAGCGCGCCCTCGCGTTCACTCCTTCCTCCCCCGAAACTTTGCAAGAAACTTCGACCCGCTCTCCCGTGAACAATGAACGTTCATCCTTTTATGAAAGTCGAGAATTCACTTAATCATCCCGTGATTCGCCCGGTCTCGGCGATCCTTTTTAATTCCTCCGTCCGAGCACGATTCCCAAAGCAACGGAAATATTTCGAGTTTCCTTGGAAGTAAAATGTTGTTGCGAAACTGACGTTTATTGGTGGTTTCGACGGGCACGGGGAACCGGAATGACGATATTAATGAACGTTCTTTCGTTGAATTTTTCTGGGCCGTTTTGCTCCTCGGGCAATGAAAGGATCGACTTTAAATGCTCGAATCAGACCGTGTAATCGAGATCAAGAGAAGAAAGTCAATTATGAGTTAGAGTGCTTCTAGCGATCTTTTATTTTCTTCTGCTATTCTAGCTAAACTCTCTGAATATGAAGTTTACCATAAAAATTCTCTTTGGTCTGACAGTGAACGCGTCAAGGAGACGCGTATGGAGGGCCAAAAAATAGAAAATAACGTAGCTGAAATTATCAGCCACGCCCATATTATTAGGAACCAGTTTTGCTATTTTTACGGCATTACGTAATCCTTTCACCAATGCGTTCGAAACAATTCAGTTTGAGAAGCAGATTTGCTGGTGTACGGTTCGGTCTGGCTGAGTGTCGCCGAGTGGCGCGATTGATGCGTATTCGCAGCAATTTGTCGAAAGGAGAGGCGTCGCTCGGACGTGGAACCGGCGATGACCGTTCGCAGTCATTGGCGTCCTGCTCGTGTCACGTAAATCGTCTTCCTGGAACGAAGGCCACGAGAAAGTTCGTGCCGCTGGTTCAGTGCCACGGTCACGCTACGTGCGTGGCATCGACACCGACGAAAGTAAACTAAATCCAAGGGATTACGCAACCCCGTTTTAAAAGTCACTTAATGTACGTCGCTGACCGCCTTCTTCTTTCTCAGACTTCCCCTCTTACCGGCCGTTTTGTTCGAGCTACTTTTCCTCGGTCCAACTTGGACACTATTTTACCATACATGTACCAATGTCCCAGCCCAGCCCAGCCCAGCCCAGCCTAGCCAAACTTCACACCGCCGGAGTGGCAATAATTTCAATTATACGACTCGAACGATTTATGCTCGAATCTACACTGTTCCTTACCTCTGGTGCTCGGTTTCAACCCCTTATTATACGTACCGTATATCGCGGAAATCTGTACAATCGCGAAACTGTACCATTAAAATAATCAGAGCAGATTAATCAACGCTATTTCTACCGTGGTTTTTTCATACATACATACGGTAGCATCAATGTTTCCAATTGTTTTCTATCTTTTTCTCACGACACCTTTCTACCGCGTTAAGTTTAATTATTTAAAAAAACGCGAGAATGCGTAACGCGAGCGTTTAGATATTTAAAGAATTCGTTAGAAATGTTCGGCCGTTTAAACGGATAGGGAGATATTGCATAAATGCTCGGTTATTTAAAGGAATCGGAGACTTTCAGCGTGGTCGTGCGTTTTGAATAATCGTCGACTACTTCCGAGAGTAATATAAGCACGCCGGAGTCGTGTGTCGAGTTAACGTGCTTTATTAATATTCATGTAACCAGATACGCGTTTCTTGTCTTCGTATGGCGTTCACCTTTTCGATACGTTTCCGGATTTTTAGCGTTGATCGGCGTCGCGCGCATGTAGCCACCGTGTTTTGATATTCCAGTTTCTCTGTAAAAACCGATAAGACCGCTTTCAAATTTATCACCGACGCACGTTCGAACTTGATATAGTGTTTCGCGACTAATCGCGTAGATTCGAAAAGCAGGTTTAGCTTGAATCGCAGAAGATGAACGGCCAGAAAAATCAACGCGATCTGTGTTAATGCAGTTTCACAGGCGAGTCGAAAAATATTAGGTTGATGCATACGAAATGTCTGCCTTCACCAGCGAGTAAAATGATATAATAAAATTGTTATAAGAATGCCCGTTTCGTGGGCACCGATCGAATAATTCTCTACAAACAAATTCATTCTACTTGCGCGGATTTCACTTTCCATTCTCGTTCGCGTACGCATTGTACATATGTATGTATGTATGTATGTATGTATAACTTGGCGGGTTCTCGAAGCTTAATTTGGAATTTTGAAATTGGTCGTGCAAACATATTGTTTGTCACCGAGCGGCAAATACAATTCGAAACCTCGAATTTCATTTATTCGCGATTACTCGTTAATCGCATTCCAGCGCACGGTTAACTAAACGAAATTACGGCGCTTCTATAAATTGTCCGCTGATGCTTTTGTTTGCGTTCGAACTATAAACGGTGGAAGAGCATTACATATTCTCATTTCGTTGTGTAATTAGTAGTCGCTGAATAATTATTTAACCATCGTGTGATCAGACGCCGAGGATCGAGCGGGCAGCAATGGCCACGTACGAGAAGAAAAACATCCCGTGATTTATTATTACGGTCGAAGGATGCAGTCTGGTATTTCCAGCCAAAAATTGGGACTTTTTTATAATTTGTTTGTCTAGGAA